GACTATTCATAAATCGCAAGGTCAGACATTACCTCAAGTTGTGGTGGATCTGGGTACGGCAGAAAAAGCGGCAGGAATTAGTTTTGTGGCTATTTCTAGAGTCCGCTCCTTAGAAAATTTGGTGTTGCAGCCAATGTCCTTTCAAAGACTACAAGCAATTGGAAAAAGCAAGCAATTACAGGAAAGACTCCGAGAAGAGGAAAGGTTAAGAAATCTGTCAGAAGTTACCTCGCTTAGATACGCACACCTTTAGTCCATTGGTGACATTCAGTGGACCGACATCTCAAGGCAAGTAACTTTTTAATAAACCTTACACTTACTTTGGGCCCAAAATAAACTTAAACCTGTAACATAGTTCAACAATATCGTTACCGTCACTAATACTACATAATACAAGAAGAAAATCAACATACTTTCAGATAAGTGTTCGATTTTTTCCTGCCTAATGTGCCAGTCAATTTCAAACCACCTATGCCCCGCCCCCCAACAAACCCCCAGGCATTTCACTTTTTGCAAACATTATGGTCCATTTTCCTGGTTTTTTTTCGCCAGTTTCAATAATGTAAAATTGCCCAACGGCAACTACTTCAAAACCATCAAACTGTAATGTTTATATCCTCCTAAACCAACCACAATCTCTAAAGTATCAGAAAGCTGTTGTACAATGGTTTCTTTATTTCCAGACAATATTATGCATTCACAGCATACCTCCAAGCAAATGCCCTGAGTATACCCAAGGGGGAGATGGCCAGTTTTGGAACTGACTGGAACATAAACTAATGTACACTGTGATGTTATTGATGCTGTAACTCAGCAAAGTGAATATGATTTCCAACACAGTACATTCTTAACGTTACAAGTAACCGATTCAACTCTTTCAAAATAATTAATATCATCACAGAGCATTTATTATTACAGGGAAACTACACCCTGATTCTGAAACATTATTTTGTAACTCAGTTACCATTTCTGCTTCGCACACGTACAGTATGCGACAAATGAAATATATTTTTAGTATTTCCCAACTTCACAAATATTCCTTACTGAAGCCTCTAAGTCACAAGAGTAGCCAGCATCACTTTCCTCCTAACAATAGTAATACTTCACCAAGACGAAAGGTTCTCACAATTTACAAAATAATCACCTAACAGAATATGTTTTCAGCTCATAGTTTGGGAAAATGTCTACACACCAAAGACTGTAATAATTGGGATGTGGATACACTAAAACCTGTATATTACAGCCCTGTATATAACCGGTCAGCCTGTATATTCTGGTGGCCAGAAAACTTCCTACCATTTTTGGTTGGCTTATTTTGTCCACAAAGTTCACCTATACATAGTAATCACCCTGTATATAACGTTCGCCACGCCATTTGTTTCGGCTGACTGTTTTACGCAGGTTTGACTGTATTAGGGATTCAAGGTTTTTTTTTAACAACAGTATTCCTGTTCATAATAAATTCCATTATATTTTCTTCTTCGAACCATTTACATAGACCAATTAACTAAAACATAACATATAACAGCTTTGTATATAAACACCACTGTGTTGTTTTAAGTCAATTCCTTCTTGCTTGCCTTCTCTTCCACAAGGAGGTCTGCATAATTACATCACCTCACAGTATTAGTCAACCACATGGTTGCCCCACCTGAGGTAACCTATGATCAGGTTACAGCACAGCAAAGAAAAAATAGACTTATCTTCACAAAATTATCAACAAAGGCAAGGGATTTTTTGGGTCATTAAGGAATAGCATCATCCTCTTTCCTTTTGGTTTTTCGAATGTAATTCTTTGCTACCATTTCATAATTTACATAATCAACAATGTTCTATTGCCCGAATGATATTCTTTAATGACATTCATGTCACTTGCTAAAAACATCATAAGTGGGTGGATAGGATGGCTGTAAGGGGAGGATGGAGGCCATCATTAGGACTCATTCCCATTTCAGTTGGTAAGGAAAATTGTACATATCAATGTAATAAGTAACACCAATCACTGTGGCAACCATGTTCATGCATGCTGACACATTTGGAGAATGTAGCAAGTGGTCACCTTAACCATAACTTGTGATTTCATACCACTTCCCTTTTGCAAAAGTGTATATTCCCCGTACATACAGCACCACCAACAATGTCCCCTTACATACCCATTTGGCCTGCTTCTACAAGCCTTGTGCCAATGAAGACCCCCTTATTTGATATTAATTAGTTAAGGGTGATTAGTTTTCTGATTCTCCTAATGTGCATCCCTATTGAAATATCTTTCAATGTCACTTCCTTTTACTCTTTCTACACAATGGTTCTCAAGATAATGACCGATAACAAACATTGTAACAACTCTCATTGCTCTGGTTGGATAACAATAAACAATACTTTTCCACTAAAACCTACAATTTACTTGTTGTTTTCACTACAGCATACCCTCTGCCATTTCTCAATAATTATTACTCTGCAGTCATCCACTCACACTAATACAACACCCACACCAGTTCTTCCTTTTGCCAGCGGGGGACTGGGGTTCAATTTCCTCCAACGCAAGGAAATGGAGTATATTTCACTTACATGGGTGCCTCCAATTCTCTGCCAGCCTTCCATTCCTTCGATACGATGGGCCACCCACCCCAAAACTTCGCGAGGTTCTGCGATTCACGTATTTCTAGTTTTAAAGATGTTTTTTCCTGAAATTTTAACCAAGGATAAATGTAAATGGATTCTTGGCTTTTCATACTTTGTTTTTCCGTTGCTCAGTACAGCCATTAATCCCATCATTCTTTTCTTATTTAGTTCCAATTTCCGTCACGCCTTGCAAACCTTGTGGCCATTTCGACTGAAAAATTTCTGCTGTTCATGTTGTAAGAAACGAAAGGAAGAAGATCCAATAAGACAGGACAAACAAGTGGAACTACAAATCCTGGTCAAAAACATAAATTAAATGTAATTTACTCATGAAATGCCTCATAGAGCTCCTAAAACGTTGTGTGTGTTTGATGCGTTCTTGATCAAATGGAATCGAGAAATACTTGGTTTTGAAAATCGTTAAAAGCCGGAGTTAACCGGTAGGAAAACTTCTTAGAACTCCACCCACATATGGGTGTCGTCACAGGGATATGACATTGACCCAGCTGGCAACATAGGTGGGGGAGGGGAGATACAAAGGATATAAAAACGTTGGTCACATTGTAGAAATTGACGTTTGTCATTAGCAGTAAACGTGATTCTAAAGCTCTCCATTGACGTCATTTTATCGCATATCGCAAATGTCTTTCAAATTTGGTCAATTGTAGCTGCTTGTTATGAAAGATTAGCCGTGGGTTTAAGCCAACGTGAAAAAATTATATTTTGAATGAATAGTGATAAAGTTTATTGCTTATAGCTGTTGCGAATGCCCTGCCAGTAATAGGTAGCAATTGCTGATCGCGTTAGGTTTTCTCTTTTTGAATAAAAAAATTCAAATTTATAATTTCCCTTTTAATGTCAGAATTTGTCTTAAACGGATAATAGTACTATTCATTCCGATATTTCCTGTTCGAAATAAGACGTCTTCGATTCAACTTGCTTCCCTCGCCTTGTCTAGTTTTAATGTGTCTTGTGTTTCGGTTTTTAGATGCATGTAAAGAAGCTTTTTAATTTAACCTGTCGTTGCTCTCTCGCGCAACCAATTGTGTAATAAAAGTGCACTATAAACAACATGATATTGTGGCTTTATTACCTACACCACTCGTATCAGAGATACCTTACACAATTCCAATGTTTTGCTATTGTAAGAATAAAAACTTGTCGATTGTCCATGACTGATTATTTTTCTCGTCCCACGATTTTAAAAAATTAGATGCCATTATGCGTGTACTGATCGCATCCCTTGTTTGTTTGTAATTTTTACTTAGTAAGTGTGGCTTTGAGTGACACATTTGTTTCGGTCGTGAGACAATTTAACATTAAGAAATTACGAGCTCACTCCGGATTAACAACAGGGTACGAATGGAAGAAACCATCGGATGTAGATTAAATTAATTAACGCAGTGTTTTGCTTTTCAAACCTTATTTATAATAAAAACGGATTCGAAATTTCAAAAGGAAGAGTTAGACTTTATAATTTAAAATGACCTTTTATTTGCGTGTGAAAAGTCCATTCCTTAAATTACGAATAATTAATCTAATATTAGTCTAACTTGCTAGAAGTTGGCGCGGCATCGTACATGTCTTATTGTGTGTGCCAGTTTTCATCTTTCAACTGAACATAATTCTGGTTTCTTTTAACAGCTGTAACTTGATACTTGTTGAAAAATAGATTTCGATTCGCAAATGTGAAACGTGACGAAGTTTTCTTTACTTGTCGATTACTGTTCAAACACATCAATATTAAGTGGTTTTTTGCCTAGTTTCATTCATAACAGTTATGTTGCACCGTGTTTCTATCTACTCTACACATTTCTAATTCGAAGTATTATTAGGCGCAAGCTTGAATCTCACGTTTGCCGTTTACCGTAACTTGGTGGCTCTTAAAATCTAAGGTTTTTAAAAATCTATTCGCCATTACACAAGTTAAGTGTATCTTTCGAGTAACAATCAGAAATCGAAGAAGAAGGAAAAGTTACAGTTGACTAAAGCAACTAAAAGGAGCACAGTCTCAGGTGAGAAAAAATGGTAATTAATGTTGTTTAAAGGATGGATTGGTTTTCAGTTGCAAGTGAAGTCAAAACTGTTGGATCTTCGAAAGATAATTAGAAGTAATTTGAAAGCGGTATTTCCTTGCAAAGGCTAAAATATTAATTTTCATCCAACAACAGCTGTAGTATAGTCAAAGGTTTCACCCATACTGAATCGTCCCACCTTAACGCTGGTTGTAAATTGTCGAGGGTCTG